CCTATAAGGTAGGGATTAAAAAAACCCTCAGAGAAGATGGAATAAAATGCAACAACCATTTAATAGCTCATAACAATACAACATAGCTGGGTAGGAAGTGAATAAAAATGCTACATCCATTGGAATGGGAATCCACTGTGCAGAGGGAAACTGGGTAGGCAAGTAATTAGCCAAGTTACTGTTTGGCCAGAAACAGTATATTAGTATTCCAGACTTACAAAATATGCCATGGTCAAGAAGTCCATTTTTACATTTCATGTAGGCTATGGCACTTGTAACAGCAGTTGCCCTACTGCTCTGCTGAATCATAGGTTTAGCACTGACTCAGAGAAGAGCATCACTAATGTACACCACCACCTGCAGCCTCTGATACATTGTGGTGTTCCTCTGTCCATGTATTCTTCTAAGCCAGATCTGCTTAACTTGCCGAAATACACTATATTCACCCAGGGAACTATGACCCTTATACTAGTAACTGCTACTAGAGGGAATGCTTTATTGCTCAAGGGATAGTAAAGAGCCTGAAACGACAATCTGGTGAAATTTAAGGTCATTATTCTGTGGCTTCTAATATACAGACATTTGTTTTAAAGTTATATTGCTCCAAGTCTATGGTTTGTTTGTTTGTTTGTTTATTGGTGTACTGCTGCCATTCTCTTTGATGGGCCAGGGGCTCTCTTTGAACTACATATCCCAGGATGCAATATGGTCTCCCTCTTCATGGGGCATGAGTGTATCTGGGGGATGCAGAGGGGACATGACTGTATCATGGAAGATATGCTGCTGATGAGCCTGATGCTTAGAATAGAAAGAGACCTGAGGCAACTGGAAAAGCACTCCCATGAGTTAGAAGCATTTCCAAATAGAAGTACACCAGAATTAAGTTTGAGGTAGTAAGGTCTGAAAAAAATCATTTCAACAACAAAAATTTCAACCAACTGCTCATCTGACCTTGATCAGAGAACAAGCTTAATATCCTGTATTAGAGATGTGTAGTGAACCGTGATTGGTGCTTCCCAGGTCTAGATGTTCTTCATTTCTAACAGAACACAGTCCCATTCCCCTTTGTTCTCTCTACTCTTACTTTTAAGCATCATCATCAGGGGTCTTGGTTATCTCTGTTTAAAAATCACAAATTCTCTGATAAAAAATTGCAAATTTTTTTATTAAAATCCCTCAAATTCACATTTCCCGCAATTAAAATGAAACACCACTATATAGGTATCAGCTGAACACATTTAATTGATATATTTACAATTTTAAAGCAATTTGGAAGTGAACCAGTGCCTCAATCACTATAATAAGATAAATGATAAGTACCTATACATTTTAGCATTTGATTTGGGGATTTTTATCATGGAAAATCAGAGTTTTCCCTGCCCCCTTCTCTCACCAGGATGCAGCTCCAGCGGTGGCTGCCTTCCCCGCCATCACTGTTTTCTGGTGCTGAGCAGCTCTGACATGCTGGCATGGAGTGGATAGGGGATTGGGTGCAGGCTACGTGCTGCAGGCTTGGGTGGGGGAAGGTTTGCTCCCCACTTCTGCGTGTACTCCTGGGCAGGGCAGGTGTGGGCTGCCCTCTGCAGGTTTAGGCTCCCTGCCCTGTAGCCCTCCCCTGGAGTCTCTGCAACCCACTGGGTGGGACGCAGTGCGGCAGGGCATAGCAGAGTCAGGTGGGAAAGCTCCTTCCTGCTGCAAGCTCCATGCTGCCCTGGTGACATGCCCCCTGTGGAGGCCCCAGGGGAGGGCAGCAGGGCAGGGAGCCCAGGCCCACAGCAGGCAACCTGCACACACACCTGCCCCACGCACAGGTCTAGGGGGCATGGGTTTCTCTTGTCCCTCCTGAGAGTGCTCCACCCACCCTAATTGCTGCCCTCCCCCAACTTACTGTAGGAGCTGCTCTCCAGTCTGCCTGGTGGCCATATGCATATACAGGCACATGGCGCCCCCTGCCTGACTGCCCTCCTCCTGCTCCCCCCAGCCCCTTGCAGGCTGCAACTCTGCCAGCCTGCAGCGAGCTCTTTGCAAAAGTGCAAAATCCGTGTGTTTCTCTATTAAAATGAAA